AATGCAATACATCATTTGATTTCTTGACTGCTGTTTCCATGACTGTTGATTGTGGATCCACTCAAAATGAAGTTTCTAACAACCTCAATCTTCTCTCCATTTATAATGAAGTTATTTATTTGTATAGTTATGAGGATATTTGTTTTTCTTTACACTGAGGTACACTGAGATTTGTACTTGTGGTTCACAGTCCAGGGTTTATCATACAGCCACACACCAAGCCTCCTAATACTGTATGTTGTTGTTAAGTGCCATCGAGTCGGTTCTGATGTATTGGGTTTCAAACACAGCTGGTGTGTTTGAACTGCTGACCTTGTGGTTTGCAGCCCAGTGCTGATCCTATAGCAACATACCATGGCTATCCAAAAAGGGACTTCTTATATTTCCTGTATTCTGACATGAGTCAATGTCCTTCCACAAAGAGTGAAACAGTAAGGTACAATGTGTGCCTGTGTGTGTATGAAAGAGTACAGAGAACAATCTAGAACTGTGCTGTCTAATATTAGAGCCACCACTCATACATGGCTGCTGAGCACTTAAAATGTAGCTAGTAAGAATTGAGTAATCTAAAGAGAAAGATTCTGCTTATCAAGGACCAAGCTAGATTGCTAATTAATGGACATAAAAAACTCAAATGGAGGCTGAATCCAAAAGAACTCAAAATGGAGGTAGGGTTCACAGTAATCTGCAGCCAAGTGTTTTCAAATTTAAGCTTTAATATACATTACACTTTGTATCAGAAGACGGGGGAAGAATGCAAAAGTTAAAGTGAATAAAACATCTTTTAAAGCAAATGGAAGAAATGAGGAGGTAAAAGAGCTGAACAGAAAATGTGAAAGGGCAGCTAGAGAAGACAAGTATTGGAGTTAGAAATCAAAAGGGAAGAACACACTCAGAATTTCTTAAACTGAAAGAACTGAGGAAAAATTCAAGCCTCGATTATAATACTGAAAGACTCTGTAGGCAAAACATTGAATGATGTAGAAACCATCAAAAAAGATGGAAGGAGTTCACAAACTCACTGTACAAAAAAATAAATGATAGATGTTCAGCCATTTCATGAAGTAGAATCAATAGTACTGAAGGAAGAAGTCAAAGTCCATCAGCAAAGAACAAGGCTCTGGAATTGATGGAATATAAATTGAAATCATTCAACAAACTGATACAACACTGAAGGCACTCACTCATCTATGCCAAGAAATTTGGAAGACAACTACCTGGCCAGTGGTTTGGAAGTGATCCATATTTGTGCCCATTCCAAAGAGGGGTGATCCAATGGAATGTGGAAATCATTGGGCAATAACATTAATATCATATGCAATTAAATTTTTGGTAAAGATGACTCAAAAACAGTTGCAACAGTGCTTTAACAGTTTGATGACAGAGGTTCAAGCTGAATTCAAATGAGGAAGTGGAATGAGAGATATCCTTGCTGACATCACACGGATCTTGGCTGAAAGCAAAGAATTCCTGAAACATGTTGATCTGTGGTTTACTGACAATGCAAAGGCTTTTGACAGTGTGGATCATAAAAAGCTATGGACAACATTTTGGAGAATGAGTATTCTGAAACATTTAATTGTGCTCATGAGGAACCTGTATAACGAACAAGAGGCAGTCATTGAAACAGAACTCGTGGACACTGAATGTTTAAACTCAGGAAAGGTGTGTAACCAGGTTGTGTTCTTTCACCATACTTATTCAATCAGTATGCTGAGCAAATAATTAGAGAAACTGGATTGTGTGAAAAAGCATGTGTCAGCAGGATTGAAGAAAGACTCATTAACAACCTGTGATATGCAGATTATACAACCTTGTTTGCTGAAACCAAAGAGGACTTAAAATACAATACGTGAAGCTAAGAGGACTTAAAATAGATGAAGATCAAAGGCCACAGCCTTCAGTATGGGTTGCACCTCAGTGTAAAGAAAACAAAAATCCTCAACACTGAACCAATAAATAATATCATGACAAATGGAGAAAAATTGAAGTTGTTAAAGACTTTATTTTGCTTGGATCCACTATCAACACTCAAGGAACCAACAATCAAGAAATCAAAAGACATATTGCACTAGACTAATCTGCTGCATAAGACCCCTTAAAGTATCTAAGAGCAAAGAGGTCAGTTTAGGACTAAGGTACACCTGACGCAAGCCATAGTATTTTCAATAACCTCATATGTATGTTTCTCTGCTATTCATAAGGTTTTCAGAAACTTTGTCTCTCATACTTCAGACATATTGTCAGGAAAGACCAGTTGCTGGAGAACAATATCATGTTTGGTAAGGTGGAGGGTCAGAGAAAAAGAGGAAGACCCCCAGCAAGATGGATTGGCAAAGTTGCAGCATCAATGGGCTCAAGCGTGGCAACAATTGTGAGGTTGGCCCAGGATTGGACAGTGTTTCATTCTGTTGTGCATAGGGTCACTATGAGTCAATACCAACTTGATGGCACCTAAAAACAACAACATATGTATGTGAAAGTTGGACAGTGAATAAGGAAGACCATAGAAGAATTGATGCATTTGAGTTATGGTATAGGAGAATAATACTGAAAATAGCATGGACTTCCAGAAGAAGAAACAAATCTGTGTTGGAGGAAATACAGCCAGAATGCTCCTTAGAAGCCAGGATGTCCAGACTTCGTCTTTCATACTTTGGACATATTATCAGGAGGGACCAGTCCCTGGAGAAGGACATCATGCCTGGTAAAATAGAAGGTCAGTGAGAAAGAAGAGATGGATTGGCACAATGGCAGCATCAGTGGGCTCAAGCATAACAGTAATTGTGAGATTGGTGCAGGATCAGGCAATGTTTCATTCTGTTGGGCATAAGGTTCCTATGAGTTGGAACTGACTAGAGAGCACCTAACAACAACAACAAAATGAGTTGGAATCAACTTGCTGGAAGTGTGTTTGGGCAAAGAGCAATTTTTAAAACTATGCATTCTATACTTTAAAAATGTAAATGATTGAACTTATTTTCTGGCTCTTTTAATACCATGTTTGCATGATAATAAGTAAAATTATATTGGTTTTCATTTATTTTTATTCATATAACATTTTTTCTTATATCTAAAAAGAAAAGGATTGAGCTTGCCTACTCAGTACAGCTCTGCAGCGAAGTGGTTACGAATTGGGCTGCGAACCTCAGGGTCAGCAGTTAGAAACTACCAGCTGTTCCGCAGGAGAAAGATCAGGCGTTCTGCTCCCATAAAGATTTACAGCCTCGGAAACCCTGTATAGGGTCACTAAGAGTCGGAACCTACTCCACGGCACATAGCAACAACAACTCAGTACACTGAGTTGATAGGGAGGGACAAACTAGACTTCAGCTATCAAAAATGGGGAGCTATAAAGGCACAAAGTGGCTGGCTTACAAGCTTTCATGAGGTTTCTTAATGTCAGAATGAGGTGAGTAAGGTAGAATCCCCACTGAATAGTTTTCCTCTTGTCAAAATGGGTCTGGTAAAAGAGGATGGGGATGATGGGGATAGGATTTCATGATTCAGTTGTGAGTAATTGTTATCAAGAATAACGGTGATTGTTACAACTGTAAATGTAGGTGAGATGTAACTAAAAGGGCAGCAGTTGAACTGTCATTTCAGGAACAAAGGACCCTTGGACATCAAAAGGGAAGAACATGAGAGGAGCAAGGGATCCTAACCAGAAAAGCAGTAACAACAGAGATGGTGGAAGAGGTGATGGCATAGAGAGACAGAGCAGCAGAGGACTTATAGGTCCATGGACTGAGAAACGCAGTATGCCTGCAGGTAGGAGGCTGGCTAGCAAAATGTGCCCAATGGACATTTAAATGAGTATATATTTTCAGTGTGGTGGTGGTGGTGGCTGTGTACCGTGGAGTCGGTTCCGACTCATAGCGACCCTGTAACAGGGTTTCCAAGGCTGTAAATCTTTACGGGAGCAGAACGCCTCATCTTTCTCCCATGGAACAGCTAGTAGTTTCGAACTGCTGACCTTGCGGTTCACAGCCCAATTCATAACCATTACGCTATGTTTAAAAAGGGAGTCTTAGTGTGGTGCTGTGGGTTAATGCGCCAGACTGCAAAGCCGTTTGAACCGCAAGGTTGGTGGTTCAAGCTCACCAGCTGCTTCTCGGAAACCCTATACAGGGTTGCTATGGGCGGGAACTGACTCGACGGCACTTCACAACAACAACAACATGTGTAAAAAGAATTGAGTTGTGCCAAAAATATAAAATACACACTGAAACTGAGACTTAGAGTACAAATGAATGTAAACTAGCTCATGAATAATTTTTATATTTATTCCATATTCAAGTGACAATATTTTAGATGTATTCTGTTAAATAAAATACATTATTTAAATTAATTTATTGTTTCTTTTTAACTTTTTAAAAATGTGACTAGTAGAAATGTTTTACTTTTAAATTTTTATTGTATTTCTTTAGGACACTGCTGGTCTAAATGGATATATATCAGTTATAACACTCATTACTCCCCGGGGGTAGGATTGGAAAGAAGAGTTTGATATGCATGACAGGAAAAGGAATTTCAGTTTTAACTTAAACTCTTAAACTTTTCTGGATTTAAAACAAAAAATATTTAATTCCAAATTCTAGTATCAGATCATTGGTGATCTATAAGAATCACATAGGGATCTGGTTAAAATGTAGATTTTCATTCTTACAGATCACCGGTGATCTGTAAGAGTTACCTGGGGATCTGGAGTGGAAATACAATTTTTCAGCAGGGATTCAACCCAAAATTAACTGGTTCAAAGCCCTGTCCTGCTCTAACTCCTCTGATTAGCTGCCCCAGCATTGGAGAAAGTGGTGCCCACCCAACTTAGTGCAGTTCAATATCCATGAGAGCCAGTCCTCTTCAGAAAATGGGGACCTTGCTCTGTGGCCTTGGACAGTACCTCCCAAACCATTCAACTGACACATTTCATAGATTTAAGAAAGAACAGTAAGCACAAAAATGAAGTGGTTGAATCTGAAAGACTTGAAAGGCAGTTGTCAGGGCCGCTGCTCACTGCTGACATAGCTGTAATATTCATTTGGATCCTCCATTTCATAAACATTCTCCTCAATAGTGTAGATGTTTTCCTCTGAGCGCATCCCCTCTGCTCCTGCATTTGCTAACCCTGAGAGAGAGAGACTGGCCAGAGAAACAAGCCTGTGGGATGGAATATTACAGTTCAGTTAGTAATTCCCAAGGCAATATAGAATCTGAGAAGAGGTTTTGCTAAAGATACAGTAACCACCTTTGACTGGATTCTGACTGCAAGGAAGGGGAAACTATCAAGCAGCAATAAAATTATTTGGGGAGCATTGAAGAAATTTAAATTAAGGTTAATTTTCATAGGTATAAAAATGGTATTGGGTTATCTAAGGGAATATCGGTATTCCTAGGAGATGCAAGCTGCAGTGTTTAGGTAAAGTGTCAGGATGTTTGCAATTTCTTTACAATAGGTTCAGAAAAGAATTGTATACATAAAACATATACAGATAAAACAACTGTATCAGAGTGTGAAATGGTGAGTTTTGGTGAAGAGTTCTATTATTCCTTGCATTGTTATTTCAGTTCTTCTGTGGGCTTGAACAATTTCAAAATGAAAACCCAGAAGAAATGAATCTGTATCTAATCAGATTTGATTTGAAATGTTATTTTCATTTACCAACCATTCGACTAACCTTAAGTAAATTAGGTTTTCTTTTCTTACTCATTCAATAAACGTTTTATTTATTCATTCAAGAAATAAAATCAATGCTTTTATTCATTCACAATATATCCATCTATTGTAGATATGCAAATTATCAGCAGAGGATCCAACTGAAATGAACCAGTTCAAAACCGTGGTTGAATTTGCATTTCATAATGACTTCTCAGAGCAAAGATCAAAGCCATTTAGAGCAGGAACACCAAGATTCCCACCTCTCCCCACCCACTCCATTATCCTTACCTGGAGTTCTGCAACTTCTCTTTCTTATGAAAATGCCCTGGGTAAAAGGGGGAGGAAAATCAATAAAAATTCTTTATGATTATAAAACTAATATGATTTAAGTAACATAGGCTCACTGTTGTTATTACTAAGTGTTGTGGAGTCGATTCGAACTCACAGCAACCCTGTATAGGGTTTCCGAGGAGTGGCTGGTGGGTTTGAACCACCCACCCTGTGGTTAGCAGTCCAGTGCTTATCCTACAGTGTCACACCAGGACTCTATGGACTCACTAGATGGAAGAATTGTTTTGGGAAACCTGTTCTAACCTTGCTGTTGTTATTAAGTTCCATCGAGTCAGTTCTGACTGATAGCAACCCTGCATAGGGTTTCCAAGGAATAGCTGGTGAATTTGAAC